GAGGCGGCGTGTGACGCGGCGTTTTCTCTTCTGAAATCCGTCAGACGGATGAAGTGGGGCAACGGGCTGTGTTCTCCAGTGGTTTCTGCCCCAAAGGCTCATGGAACTCACACTTTCAGATGCCGCCTGGTTTGAGGCTTTTAATCCAAAGTAAATCTTTGCGCTTACTGCCTCTGTCAAGGCCGATACCTGCGTGAGGTACGGTCCCGGTTTCTGCGCGGAGGACGTGCCGCGTGTTCGGCGAAGGACTTCAACACGGGGCCTGCCGCGAGCAGGACGTCGGTGCCCACCCACGTCGCTCCTTTCGGCTCTGCGACTTTTCACGCACCAGATTAGCAACGTAAAAGACAGACGCTAGATTTTCCTCTAAGATTGCCTTCACCTCTGAAAGCGTATGGCTCACCTGGAAGCGGGTACGGGGACTACAGGAAGGGTTTAGTCAGGGGGTGCGGCCGGCGACACGGGCGTGAAAATGCTTCATACCCGGGGTCTTCAAGTGTCACGACATTAGCCTTCCTTAGGCTTCAGGACCAGATCGCGCTGCGAAAGATGAGCACAGGGAGGGAAATCAAGGGCGGATGCAAAGTGACTCCATATCGACCGCGTGGCTTGTACGCGATGCGTCGTTTGCGCCATGAAGTGGCCGTGTTGTTGTATGTGTCACGCGTGTGCACACGTCAGTCCGTGTGCCGAAAAACGATCGTGTTGTTGTCCCCACTTGGCAGATGGTAAAACCGAGGTGCAGACAGAGCAGATGATTCAGCTGAGGTTACGTGACTAGTAACCGGTCCGCCGGCGTGGGCCTCCGCCTTGTCTGCGCTGCGATCACAGCGGGACTGTTGGTCTTCCACTTTGACTTCCTCCTGGCTTCCGAGTCTCGTTTACGAGGCTAAGGGGAAGAGGGGGCTGGAGAGCTCGCCTTTCCATTATTTGCCGGCCACCAAACAGACGAAATTCGGAAATGTCACAGGACGAGGGGGTTAGTCCTGGGTCGAGCGAGATCTACACCAGCACACTGTGCCGCGCACGTCAAGAAAGGCAGTTTGAGCCGGCCGCGCACCAGTGGTTCCCACGTTGCCGTGGGCTGACTTTGCTGCCTGGTCGCGTTCGAGGAAGTTGGGGAAGAATGGCAGTGTGGGTTATCATCTTCAAATCTTGCTTCAGGAGACACTGGAGAGTCTCATTTCTACATTCCTTCGTCTGCTGGAGGACGCTGAACAGTAGTTTCTTTGTGAAGGAATTTCAGACCTTTCCCCCCACCACAGAGATCTCCCCAAGCACACAAAAAGGTAAATCCTGGCACCTTTCACGCATAGAGACAAACAGTGGCTGTACCAGAGTCTGGCGTGGCTTTTCCACCCACAAGCACGTGTTCTCAGGGGCAGGAATCCAAGTCTGTCACGAGTAAATGATGAATTCCTCTCTTCATTCCAGTGGCACGTCTGGGTTTTGTCTCCCTTCACGACTGTTCTGTTAGGTGAAGTGTCCGTGAAGACGGACGGCCGTCTCCAGGAGTTACGAAAGTGGATTCCCCATAGTCCGTGGTTCCTCTCTTGGCGTTCCTGTGGCATCCTCGTTGCCTCCAGCGGCAGGGATGGAGACTGGGCCCCTCTCATGGGTGCGCCTCCCTCTGCTCCCCGGGGGCCGGCCAGCCTCCCACCGGGAAGCCCGGAGGAATGGGTCAGACCACAGGCGGGCTTCAGGGCTGATGTCCAGCACAGCCACGTTTGGTGGCCTCACCTTGCATTTCAACCTGGAGCTCCTCCTCTCTAAGAAGTGCTTCTTTCTCCTCTCCTTCAGCTGTACGTGGAGCTCACATGCAGAATCTGGAGTTATACGTGGCTCTTCCCATGTTCTCCCCACCGTGGAGGGGACGTATGCCGGCTTGTCCTAGAGGAGGGTGGTATTTACACTATAGAAATGATAGCGCTTCCCATGTGCCGGCAGAGTTCTAGACTCGTTCTCAGGCCCTTGAAGTGGACGCTGTGATTATCCCCATCTTAGGATGAAGACACCAAGGCACCTGAGGTTGCACGAGGTGGTGTGAGTGCAGCCTGGCCAAGCCGTTCTGAGCTCTCTGTCTTCTATTACTGATGGGGAAAGTAGGAAGGTTCCAGAGAGGCTTGAGTTTGGGGAAAAGTGGCTACTTTCAAACCTGTTGTTTAGACAACAAAATCTTGTAGGCAGAGCTGTGTGATCTGCCCCGCCTGCTGCACGCTCGGGAGGTGGTCCTCGGTGAGCAAGAAAAGGTCCCAGTGCTTGGGGAAGCGTGGAGAAAAAGGAGTCTAGACATTTGGAAACATGCCTCCGAGTGGAGGAAGTCAGGACACGTGGAGCCTGCGTGAGGTTTGAGGATGACGAGCAAACATGAAGCGATTTAGCAACATGTGTTGTTAGAGCTGGATTTCACTTAGGTGTGCACCAAGCACGAGCACCCAGGTGTGCACCAAGCACGAGCGCCCAAGTTGTGCACCAAGTACGAGCACCCAGGTGTGCACCGAGTACGAGCACCCAAGGTGTGCACCGAGCACGAGCGCCCAGGTGTGCACCGAGCACGAGCACCCAAGGTGTGCACCGAGCACGAGCACCCAGGTGTGCACCGAGCACGAGTGCCCAGGTGTGCACCGAGCACGAGCGGGAGACTGGAGTTACAACCCAGAATCTTGTCTGCTTCCTCCTGCATTATTCAGTTACAGAAACCAAATTTTTCTCACCTCTGGCCATTAATCATTTGTCAGGATTTCTCTATTGTATGAACATAAGATGTGTGGTGTTAAAAAGTAGTCTTTTATGTGTTGCGTGCAAACACCCAGAGCTTTATAAAATCTAGCTGATGACGTAGCACTCTTAGTTCTTCAGGTGAAGTATTTCTGTAGAGGCGAATCTCGCCTGAGATACAAACATGGTTACTTCTAGCTTTCACATGGCTGACGACACAAAGGCTTATTGTTTTATACCCATAGATATTTGGATGTCATTTATTTTCAACAATCTTCGGCAGCTCCTGTTATCTACTTCACTTAGTCCTATATGGTGGCATTTATTATATTTTTACATTAAGGTTTGATGATAAATCGTTTATACAGAGTAGAGTTCATCTGATGGGGTTTGAAATTAAATAAGAGGTGACAGATGGATATACGGCCATACGACCTGCACCACAGTCAAGCTGGAGATGTTTCCCCGCCTAGGTCCCTCCAGGGTCAGGACGGAGACCCTCCCCCCACCCAGGTACTGTGAGTCCCTTCGTACTCAACTTTTTCTTCCGACCCCAGCCGCTGATTTGATTTCTGTTCCTTATGTCTTTTCAGGAAGTCACACACAGTACTTTGAATAATAAATACACCACGTGTTTGGCATGTTTATCCTTTCATGCAGGGTGGTGGTCGCGAGACTTTTTATACGGCTGCATGTCTGACTGGTGTGTCCCATCGTACATTTCACACTGGTTTATACCAGTTTGGAAGGTTTGGGTTTTCCAGCTTTTGTGTGGATTATGAGTAAAGCTACAGAAACGTTCGTGAACAGTTCTTTGTGCCAACGTATGTTTTTAGTTTTCTGGATAAATAACTTACATATGGACTTTCTGGGTTGTATGTGAAGTGTATGCTTTATTTTATAAGAAACTGCCAAGATGTTTTCCACGTGGCCATCTAATTTTGCCTTCCATCAGCACTGAATGTGTAAGAATCCCCCTGGTTTCGCAGTGAGAGTAGGGTATTTTTTTGTTCTAGCACCCGCTAAACACAATGCAATGTGATTATATGCCAGATTCGGTTATAGACAAATCTGTGTGGATCCAAAATAGAACCTGGCCAACTGGATTTAACTGTGCACTTAAAAATGCATCTTGATTAAGTAGGATTTATCTCCAAATACAAGATTGGTTCGACATTGGAAAATCTAGTGACTTAATCACCACTTTGATACAGAGGAAATATTTTGTAGTCTCTCAGTAGATGCCAAAAAAGCATTTAAATTCGTTACTGTTTAGGATTAAAAGAAAGTCTACCAAAGTAGGAATAGAAAGGAGATTCTTAATCTGGTAAAGGTTATATGCTAATATTTATAGAAAATATTATACCTAGAGATTTTACATTCATTCTCTTTAAAACCAGGCATATGACAAGGAGAACTACTTTCACAACTCTTTTAACATAATATTGGATATTCTGAATGATAAAACAAAGAAAGAGAAACAAATGAGAGTAAAAAGCCTTGGAGGAGGAGAGACAAAACTCTCATTGTTTGCAGATGATTTGATTCATTTAACTGGAAAATCTAATAGAATCATTAAGCTCTTAGAACTGGTGTCATTCACCAAGGTTGCCACATGTACTATCTAGTTACAACAATCAAATTATCAGTAATAACTAACTGAAATTAAAATAAAAATAAGATTTCCTTTGTAATAACAACAAATAACACTTTAGGAGCTTAACTGAGAAAAACAATGGAGAAAACTTTAAAATGCAAGAAACTGTGTAGAAGTTCTGACTAATATTTCCATATCCTTTCATAGTTTAAGTTATAACTTAATATAAGAATGCCAGTTCTTTACTAATTTATAAATTTATTACAAATCTTTTTAAAAAAAATTTTAATGTTTATTTTTATTTTTGAGACAGAGAGAGAGCATGAGTGGGGGTGAGGCAGAGAGAGAGGGAGACACAGAATCCGAAGCAGGCTCCAGGCTCCGAGCTGTCAGCACAGAGCCCGACGCGGGGCTCGAACTCACGAACCGTGAGATCACGCCCTGAGCCGAAGTTGGACTCTCACCTGACCGAGCCACCCCGGTGGCCCCCCTTCCGCAATTTTTACATTTATTTATTTTTGACAGAGAGAGACAGAGCACAAGTGGGGGAGGGGCAGAGAGAGAGGGAGACGCAGAATCCGAAGCAGGCTCCAGGCTCCGAGCTGTCAGCACAGAGCCCGATGCGGGGCTCGAACCCACAGACCGTGAGATCATGACCTGAGCCGAAGCCGGACGCCCAACCGACTAAGCCACCTAGGTGCCCCTTTATTGCAAGTCTTAATCAAAATTCCAGCAGGATTCAATAAACTTATCCCAAAAAACATTTATTGGAGAAAAAAGATCCATAAAAGGCTAAGTCAACTTTATATTTTCTTTATCAGATAATAAGCAATATGAGACCATAGAAATAATGTATCATTGATTCAAGAGCTGAAATAAAGCCAAAAGAACATAATAGAGAATTCAGAGATAGACCCATGTATATTTGAGGACTTAATACATAGTAATATGGCACCATGAAACAATGGAGAGAAGATGGATTATTTGGTACAGTGTTTAGGGAAAATAGGTCTTTATAGTGAAAAAAAAAACTATTTTTATTTAAACGTGCATACACCTAATGATTTCAATATCCAGATGTGAAAAGTAAAACTATAACTAAATAGAGGAAACTGTAGAATAGCTTTGTGATGTATGCTTGGGAAAGATTTCACAAAACTTAAAAAACTTGGAAGTATAAAACATGAGAAAAAATTTGATGACTTCTGTTTTCCTGAAAATTAAAAATTTGTTTTTAATGAAGGACACCTGAGAAAGTTAATGGCCAATAACTGGCAGTAATATTTAAAATTGAAAAATGAGTAATACGTATAAAACGGACCTTAATTCCTGACACGCCTCAGAGTCACTGGGAGCCTGTGTTTTGGTGTCACCTTTGTGCCTCACCTGCCTTCTCTGTGGGTGGGGATGGCTGCCCGTATTTATGTAAGCCCACTCCATGTGATAGAGATTCAGGATGAGGCCACCAGTTGAGAAAGATTGTTGTGGGTACTGTCCTGAAGACTTAATATAACGTAGTTGTGGGTTTATTATTTTTTATCTTTCCTAGAACTCATTTTGTTCCCTCAATGACTATTTGACTTTTCCTTAATTCTGGATAATTCTGGCCATTATCCCTTCAAATATTTTCTCTTGTCCAGTCTCATTGTTCTTGCCTTTCAGAACTCATTTTATTTTATTTTTATTCTTATTTTCTTACTCTTATTCTTATTTTTTGAGAGAGAGGTGGGGCGGGGGGAGAGAGAACCTTAAGCAGGCTCCATACCCAGCGTGGAGCCTGATGCAGGGCTCCGTTCCATGACCCTGAGATCATGACCTGAGCCAAAATCAGGAGTCGATAAGCCACCCGGGCGTCCTTGGAACTTCTTTTAAGTGAATATTTGGACTTAGTCTGCCATCTGAAGTCTCTTCATGTTTCCCATCCTCTCAACTCTAGGAGCCGCATTCTGTGTGGTTTCTTCACACCCGTCTTCCAGTTCACAAGCCCACTGTTCAGCTGTTTCTAATCAGGTCTTAACCCACCAACCGGAAGTTTATGTTCTGTTGCCCTGCTCTTATTTCCAGCTTCACTTTGGTTGTCTTCAGTCTTCCGGTTCTTTCTTATAACAGCTTATTCTTCGATTGTGTTCCTAGCCATTTTAAACATACTGATTTGAAGACACATGTGATGGCTCTGTCGTCTGCGGTGTTGAGTACTCCTTCCTGCTGGCATTGTGTCCACTAACTCTCATTCATGGGAAAACCTCCAGAGATCCTTTAGCAGAGCTTACCTTGAGGGTCCTGCAAGGCTTTAGTGGAGGAGTGGCCTGGGGGTTCTGAGGTTTGCTCTGCTGGGGGCTCCAGGAATATTAGTAGCTGAGACCACTTTTTTTTTTTTTGGTTAGTTTCTTGATATGGATTTCCTTTTATCACGTAGCACAAGCTAAAACTGCAAACTCCCTGTTAGGCAGCCCTCTGTCATGGATTTTGGAGGTGATTTCCTCACCTCAGGCTGAGACATCTCATCTCCCTGCTGTCTGGATGCCCTTTCTTGTCCATGCTTCACTCAGGTCTAAACACGTGAATCTTCTGGCCTCGTGCGGGGTTTTTGGCCCAACTCCCTTTATCATGAGACCCCGAGTCCTCACCTTCTGTGTCCATATGGTGATTAAAGCCTGAGATCCCCCTCTAGCACACACACACTTTGCTGTAACAGAGACCGATTTCCTTGGGCAGAAAGTGATGTCATAAACTTGTCCCTCTGGCTGTCATTTCCTTTTCCAGGCTTGTCGCTATTTTCCTGCAGCTCAGCCAAGAGCCAATTCTCAGGCTCTCCAAGCCTCAGAATGCTGGTCCCTTCAGTAGTCACCACCCTCGACTTTGCAAGAGCTACGGTGAGGTCAGTGCCCCTGCAGCAGTGGGATGCATGCATTCACTCTCATGGGACGTCCCGATTTTATTGAAGGAAAGGACTCGTCCCTGTCCCTCATAGTTTATCTTTCTGTCTCACTGCCTTTCTCAGACTTTCCACCCACGTGGTTGTCACGGGAGCAGCAAAGACTCAACACCTGACCCTGCGTAGGCCACATTTTGAAGCTGGAACTCAGAGAAAGAAGTGGCCGAAGCTGAGGGCCAGTAGCATAAGTGAGATAAGACTTCTGTTGCCATCTGTCCACAGCTGTGGCTTTTCCTGACTCCAAAATCCATTTTTGTTGTTAAGCACCTTTAGACATTCCAATAACCGTATAATAAAATGCCTTTCTACTCAACTCGTCCAAGCTGGCTTTCTGTCCCTCACCACGAAGAAAGTGAGTCACACGGCTCTCCGGGCAGAGCAGTGGGGAGAATCTCCCTGTCCCCCTTCTCGGTTCAGCATGGCCACGTGGCTCCAGAGGGACTCGTCTCGCATCCCGTGTGTTTAGACAAACCTCTCTCACTCGCGTGCCATCTCCCTGCCGTAGTGCTTCCCGTGCAGCCCCAGCCCCACAGGGCACCCAGACCACAGGGACCCACTGATGGAGACAGCCGGGGACACACTGCTTGTGTTCCGTTTACACGGACAAAGGCCTGACCTTCAGAGTGGAATTCCTCGCCAAATTCAAACGAAACTCACAGGACTCAGAGCTACTGTGTTTATCCCCCCGGACACTGTTGCTTTTCGTAATGGTTCAAAAGTTTGGATATAGAAGTGACTCGGCCATCTGAAAGTTATTTTTCTGTTGTTTGAAGATCTGTTCTAAGAAAGGGTTATTAATGTTGTAAGATGTCATTAGTATGAGATTTGTAGCAGTGTTTTGCAGACTGAGGTATTTAGAACAGATAAACCTCATTTTTTTGTTTTTGGTCCCAGATGTGTGTGGTTCATCATCATCTCTGATACGGTTCAAGGAAAGAGAAATTTTAAAATAAATTTAACACACGTCCGTGAGTGTAAGATTATTTGGGGACTTGTGAGTAAGTGAAGTTTTGCTCCAGTGTGAAATCTGACTTTATTTTAACCGTTTCTTTGAAATGAGAGCTAAGTTCTCCTTCCAAAACAATAAACATTCTCAGGCCACAGTCTGAACTGTAAGCATCAGTCTGTTTCTCTTGGGTTATGTAAGTTGTATACTCGGTCTGAAAACTGCAGAGTTTTGTATCTGTCCTTTCTCTGTCTGGTCCTGCACCGACGCCAACGTGGTGACCTCGAGTGCGCCCAGGCGCCTGGTTCTGGTAGGTGCTCTACATGCAAGAACCGATACGGCCCTTCTGACGCCTGGGTCTGTCGTGTCACCTGGCGTTCATCCCAAACAGAGGTCGAGAGAGGGCGCTTGCCCCATACTGGATGACAAATGTATGGCAGGACCAAGGTCCGACTTCATAGCACGCATACGTCCCGGAAACTCCGGAGAGGATTTAACGTTTTAACCAAGTAATGAAAGTCTGGACGCCTCCGCACCACCTCCGATGGCCCCACCAGTGTCCTATCGGGCAGGATATCTCGACTGATTCCAGTCTTCTAATCGGTGTCAGTGGAGACCTCCACCACACGGGGCACTGCCTGTGGGCTGCAAGCGCCCAGAAATCATGCTTATCGTTATTTCTGCGTTTCTGACGTTTGATTCACTTAATCATTCATGGAAGCGAACGTCGGTCAGTGTCAACGAAGAGAAAACGTCCTCCCAGGGAGCTGTTGCCAGGCTGATGGCTCATCGCCTAGGAGATTACCGGGACGTCTTGAACCCAACAGTTCTAAGAAGAAAACTGATGGTTTTAGTGAAGCTGAGGTGATCTGGGGATGCGTTTCCTGAGGGGGATGGGGTGCCGACCTTCGGGGTGCCTGCAGGCGCATCACAGTGTGTGCGAGCCAAGCCCTCGGGTCGTGAAGGGGGTGGAGGAGACACAGGACCGGAGCCAGAGTGGGTCACGGAGACCACCGAGCAGACATGGTGTCTGTGACGGGCGTCAGTCTCGGCAGACGCACTCAGATGTGTGTCTGTGCCCTGCGCCCCTGCTTGTGGACGGAGCAAGTGTGACTCCCCACTATCCCAAACCCTCACCGGGGTTCTTGTCCCCCTCCACTCCCCAGAGGTAGAAGGCCAAGCCCCAGTGCGTCTTGTTGGGAGGGGGGGACTGTCCTGAGGTGCGTCATGTTGTGGGGGGGAGACTGTCGTGAGGTGCGTCGTGTTGGAGGGGGAGACTGTCGTGAGGTGCGTCATGTTAGGAGGGGGGGACTGTCCTGAGGTGTGTCGTGTTGTGGGGGGAGACTGTCGTGAGGTGGAGCCCTCAGGAACCGGCTCAGTGCCCCCCCAACAGCCCCAGAGTGGGCCGTGGCCCCTTCCCCCAGGTGAGGGCCGCACCGGAAGTCTGCAACCTGGAGCCCCTAGGGCCCGCCGTGCCTGCTGACCTGGGTCTCCTGGGCTCCTGACCGTGGTCGTTTGTCCCCTGGCCCGAGCTAAGACAGGCTCCCGGGTGTCGGGGCGTTTCTGGAGCACACCCGATGAGCCAGAAGACAGGCCCTCGTCGGTGGCCCCCCCGGGCCGTGTCTGCGCAGACCTCGGTGGGCTGGGCCTGCTGTGCAGTGTCTCGGGCCCAGGGCCAGGGCCCGGGGCGGCGGGAGCTCCACGGCCCATCTGCCCCCCGCGCCGCACGGGGTCTGCTGCCTCGTGGCTTGTGCTCCGGGCGGGGCCCCCGTGGCCGTCTGGGTGCCTGGCACCTGCTTCTGCAGGGAAGGATTCTGGGCGAAGGTGGGTTCCTGGACCTCTGTGAGGACCCGTGGAGTTGGAGGGCTTGCACCTGTTCCCCTCTCTTCCTCCCAGCCCGGGAGTTTCTAGATCTGCGGGGACAGAAGCAGCAAAGTCTCCTCTTGACTCTATTAATGGATGTTTTACCTATTCTGAGGCAGAGGCTTTTAAAAACGAAAGGTCACAAAAGTACACGCTGCTCCCCTGCACATCATCTTGTTCTTGGCGCGGCCGGTGGGCTCAGCCCGGCTGCGGCCCGACCGAGGGCGCTGTCCCAAAATATCGGCAAAGATACCGAAAGTACAGTGGTTCAAGTATCCAAGTTGTGTCGAATTCCCGTACCGTAACAGCAGTAACAACCCAGCGTGGGAAGGTAGGAAAGATCAGTTGTGGAAGGCTCTGGGAGCACGCCCGAGAGACGGGGAAGGAGAGAGACAGGCTGGAGGATGTTTCCACGCCCCCAGAGAGGCACAGATCCGCACCCGAGACCGAAGCGCCCGACCCCGCGGATGTGGTTTAGATTCTGGACCGTAACACCGAAGGGGTCGCGCAGCGACTTGGTGGGGCTGAATTGGCAGATGTTTGCAAGGTGGGCTCGGGGCCGAGTCCACGCGGCTCTGGGAGGAGCCCAGGACCTCAGCTAGTGTGGTGGCTGGCGGGGCGCGGCGGGAAGGCGGCGCTGAGGTACCGCGGGGCGAGGGCTCTGGTGCCGGTTGTGTTGTTTGAAGGAAGAGAAGATTCGTAGGTGGGGGTTGCGTGCCTTCTCTGGGCAAGAGCGTGAGTTGATTGGAGTTGAAGTCCCACCGGATGGCCACGCGGCGATTTGTGCAATGCGTCGAAATGCAGAATTTCCGCGTGGCCGCTTACAAAAATCACACGGCACACCTGCGTTGGGTCCGTGTGGAAATGACAGGTGAGGTCGTGGTGCACCTGGCCGGGTCCTGCTGTTTAAATGACCCTGCATGGAGCCGTTCACGAGCCAAGAAGCCTATGTGTCGGCCGCTCTGGGTCCTGCCTCTGGAGCCCGGTTCTAAGGACAGTCTTCAAACCGTGGGTTTGTAACCACTTCCTTGGCCTTAGAATGAAAGTCTCCGTTTTTATTTGTTTGTTAATCAGCCCCCACCCCGTTGTGTATCTCTAATGATAAAATCCACTGCCGTTTGGCGGGAAAGAGACCACTGGGGGTCTGTGAGGTAAGCCGAGCCAGTGCTGGTGGACCCAGGACGCTAAGAGCCACCGGGAGCTTGCAGGGGTGACCGTTGGCTGTGGACAGCCACGGGCACCCCACGTAGCCCCTCACGGCCCAGAATGAAGAGCGGGACTTGGGGCAACAGACCCAGCTCCGTGCCTTAGACCAGACTCTGTAGTGAGCCAAGTTCAGACTTCGCCAGAACCCCAGGGAAGATGAGGTCCGTGGCCGGGGGGGCCCGAGCCCCACGTGGGAGCTGCCGTGTGCTCACCACCTGGTCTCAGGCCACTCACGGGGTCGGTGCCCGGCACCCATTTCCCCACTCGAGCCCAGAGGCAGGCGGAGGTGGACGGAGAGTGGCCACGGGGGGCGGAGTGTCTGTATCGCTGAGAGCAGAGTGGGAAGGCGCGGCTTGTGTCTGTGCCGTGGACGGCAGGGCCACCCCCCTCGCCCGGGCACACGGTCGGGCCCTGACCCCCAGTGTGGCTCCAGTTGCAGGGAGGGCTCTCAGGAGGCAAAGCTGGGGCGGCCTAGGGGCGGGTTCCTCGTCCGACAGGACCGGCGGCCTGACACGGAGGGAGAGGAACCAGCACCTGCAAGGAGGAAAGGCCGTGTGAGGACGGGGGGAGGGTGGCCGCCCACAGCCGGGCGAGGGGCTCCCGCTCACACCGGGTCGCACGCCTTCCGGCCTCCGGGGTTGTGAGCCAACAGGCGTCTGCGGAGTCGTGTCCCGACGGCAGGAGACCTGGCGGGAGGGCACTGCCTGGATTTGCTCCCCAGGACGCGGACCCCACCTCACTGCATTAACGGGGCAGAAGGAGGGCATCTGCCCCTCCCCCCGCCACCGAGCCAGCCGCCCTCCGCCCCCACCTGGGCTGTGGCTCGCCGCCCGGCCCGCGGGAGTGGCCAAGAGCTGGCGGGCACGTCTGGAGGCCGCCCTGTCCTCTCCCGATGCTCCTCTCGAGCATCAGAGCAGCAGTGACATGCGGTTCGCACCCGTCGAGTAGAATACAGCACCAGCTGCACGTGGAGATTTTACTGGTTTTGACGCACTTGGTCCTGTGGTCTAGAAAATGGAAAATGAGGCAAACGCCTCCAGAAAGTGCCCTTGCTTCCTACCTTACAGGACCCTCAGCTAATGAAAGTGACTGAACCACATTTCGTCTTCAATTGCAGCTTGCCACCACCACCCTGGACGGCAAACTGCAGCTGTTTGTGGCCGAATAACTCACCGCGGGCCGGTGCGCCGCGGGCGCGAGGGGGACGTGGCCAAGGCTGCTGGATCCCGAGCCGCTGCCGCCCTGCGTCCCTCATGCTGGCAAGGTCTCCCGCCCCGCGGGACGGTCCCCCTTCCCGGAGACGGAGTTGGCCTCCAGCACTCGTGCGCAGAACGTGGTGAAGTTACAACAGAACGTTCTTCGATAAAAAGTAACCCAGTGTTTGTGTCCTCCCGGACTTTGTGGGGTGGGGGCGGGGGGTCCACGCTGGCACGGTGGGCTCACAGCCTCCTGACGGCCTGCCCTGCTGCTGCCTGGGGAACGGGGCCTCTGCACACAGCCTGGCTTCTTGGCCCTTCCTCCCAGTTGAGCCAGGGCCCCGTTGGCATACGAGGACCTGCCCAAGACCTTGCCTTCAGTTCCGTCGGATGAATTCCCAGAGGTGCGCTTGCTGGGTAACATGGCAGTGCTGTTGTCGATGTTTGAGGAAGCTCCACACTGAGGAAACCACAGCACCCGTGCCGTTGACCGTCCCTCCAGCGGGCACAGGAGCGTCTGCTTGTCGTTAACACCCCACTGCTTTGTATAACTTTCGTAGCAACCATTATTTGTCTTACGTATTGTTTGCATTTTTATATGAATTTTCTCCAAATTAAGTCCTGATTCCAGTTTTCTATGACTTGGAGAAAAAGAAACTTAAAATTATTGGATGTCAGTAATAAGAGCCAAACAATATTTTAGAGAAAAACTAATATGTTAAAAAAAACCCAAACATTACCAAGCTTTACTAGGGA